AAGGAAGATGAGGGCTGGAAAACTGCCTGTTGGATTTAGCAGCATGGAGGTCCTTGAGAAGTGCAGTGTTGCACAGCAGTGGGGGTAAGGCCTGGCCGAAGCATTTCCTCCTGGCAGAGATGGGGAGACGTGGATATATTCTTCAGGGCAGGTGCTGCTTACCAAGCCCCTGCCAGGTGCCAACAATGATATACCCATCTGTACCAACTCCCTATGTGTACCAACAACTCCATGAGAGAACTGTGGTTACACAGGCTCAGGGCTTGCCCAAGGTTCACCTGGAGACGAGGTCCTCAGTCAGGCCTGTCCGACTCTGAAGCCTATGACCTTTCTGCTCCACTGCATCTGATGCCTGGGTGCAGGTTCTTCCAAATCTCACTCCTCTACCTCCTCCCAGCCTCCCTTCACATAGCGAGTCGGGACCTAGCTGGGGACTCACTGACTGTCTTGCCTGGTGGGTGTGATTTGCCTAGGTGTAGACAAACACCCGCCTACCAGTTTTCCTTGCAACACCTGCAGCACGCACAGGTGATTGGAGAATGCAATAAACAGGCCTCACCCTCAACCTTCAAGCTTCATACTTACTCACCCAGGCTTTGGCTTCAAACAGTCCTGAGTTCAAATCCCAATTCTGGGCCGGGCGCGGTGGCTCACGCCTGCAATCCCAGCACTTTGTGAGGCTGAGATGGGCGGATCACGAGGTCAAGAGAGGGAGACCAGACTGGCCAACATGGTGAAACCCCGTCTCTACTAAAAATACAAAAAATTAGCTGGGTGTGGTGGTGCATGCCTGTTGTCCCAGCTACTCTGGAGGCTGAGGCAAGAGAATTGCTTGAACCTGGGAGGCGGAGGTTGCAGTGAGCTGAGAGCGCGCCACTGCATTCCAGCCTGGCAACAGAGTGAGACTCCATCTAAAAAAAAAAAAAAAAATCCCAACTCTGCCACATACTAGTTATATGACTGTGCAGATCAATTAGCAGGTTGGGCCTTGGTTGCCTCACTTGTATAATGGGGATTAAAAGTCTCTGCCTCTCAGAGTTGTGAGGACACAGGATGCATCACTGTTAGTGAATAGTAAGCACTCACTAGAGTGAGTAACTGGTTTTGTTGACTATTGGAATTGGTGAAGGAGTTTGCAGCTGGCTGGGAAATAGATTAGCAGTGACCAGGCAGCCATCTCCTGCTGGTATGGGAAGAGATGGGTATCTTGTCATGGTGCCTCGGAGTTGGTGGAGTTGGAGGGGTAATGAGGGAGACAGGGCCTCAGCTGGGGCTCTTGCCCGGAGCCCAGAAAGCTGGGTGGGAAGGAATGAGGGAAAAACAGTGTGAGCCTCAGATAATTTATCGCATAACACCTATTCCCTCATACTGTCAGTGAGGATTAAAACTAATAACATAAGCCAGGCGCGGTGGCTCACGCCTGTAATCCCTGCACTTTGGG